GGAGGGGACGGGGGAAGGGAGCGGAAGGTGTAAGTTCACCTGTGGACCCAAAGGCTACAAAGCCTGCCAGGAAGCGAGACTTGGGCCCCCCAGGCGGCTGTGGGTGCCTGGGAAACGGGGAGGCCAGAGGCCAGGCGCTGGGAGCAGCGGAAGGTTCAAATCCTTCCCCAAACCTCCTTCACCCCGGGGGGGGGGGGATTTATTTTTTTAAACAACCGGTTCCGTGGGCGTGGCTTAGTTGGTGGGCGTGGCTTGCTGATTATGTGACTGGGTGGGCGTGGCCTACTCGACGTCACTCACATCAAGGGGGGCTTCTCCTCGCCTGGCCTCTCAGGACAGTGGGGATGCTGCAACGGTCGTAAGGGTGAAAAATGGTCTTAAGTCACTTTTTTCAGTGCCATTGTAACTTTGAACGGTCGCCAGTTTTAGACCAAAACTCAAAAAGGGGGTATAAACTCACGTTTGAATGTCAATCTTTCTAGCTAGCGAAGAAGCCTTGCTGAATGTCCCTCACCTTGGTTCCTTGTCATTAGAAGCTCCTTTCTGGCGGCTCTGCTTGGTTGTTCGATTATTTCTTCAAAGCGCTCACTCCGACTGGGGAGCGTTTCCTCCCAACAGCCGTGTAAAAAGCTTAGAACAACCCCTCCCCTTTGAGAAAGTACCAGCCAAGGGGGGAAAAAAACCTCCTTCGGAGACAGTAAGTCTAGGCTGTCTGCCAAGAGCGCAAGTAGGGTGGAAAAAGACAAAAGGAGATTTCTCCCAACAGGTGAATCCCCCCCCCCGGGGGTGGGGGGATCACCTCGCTAGGCGGGGAAGGCAGGGAGGAGGGGCCCTCGGTGACCGTCCGCTTAGAAAAACGCCCCACCTGGGAAGGAAGGAAGGCCAACCCCCCCCCCACGTCCTGGGATGAAGGTGTAGGATCCAGTCCGGCTGGGTCTCCAGGGCCACAGACTCTGGCCAGGGAGGATGGGATCCGGCCCCTGCCCAAAAAGCTCGGAAGGCCAACGAGGGGCCCACGAGGCCTAGTGGTTAGGGCATTTCCTGAGCAATCCAAGCTCTGCTCCTCCCTCAGGACCGAAGCCGGCTGGGGGATTTGCGGCCAGTCCCTCCCTCCCTCTCCCCTCCTTACGAAGAGGGACCAAACGCTCCCCAAAACGTCGCCCAGAAAGCCGCTGGACTTCTCTATGGAGCTGCCAAGTGTCGAGACTGTTCTGGAGGAGCCCATACCCCAAACCCCAACGCGGGGGCTGGCCTTGCCCCAAGGCAGAAGGGAATGACAGGAAGCCAACAGGGAAAAGGCCCCCAGAGGCAGACGAGAAATGCACGCAGGCCGGAGAAGTCAACGGCTCCGCCTGGTCTGGCTGGGGAATTCTGGGAGCTGAAGTCCACAAGTGGCCACGGTTGGACCTCCCCCCTCCCCCCCCCTTTAAAGGTTGCCTTGAGGGGCTCCTCACCCCCTCCCCCGCCTCTGCTCTCGCTCGCCCAGCCTCTGTTAAGCAGGACGTGTGGCTGACAGGGACCTCGGGCACCTGGGACTCCTTCTTGGGCGGGGCTGCTGTTCCCGGCCACAGCAACCCTTGGCGTCAAAGCCCCCCCGCCCCCCCGCCCCTGAGGAAGCTGACCCTGTCTCCTCCGCTACCCCAACCTCTGGGGAACTGAGGCCGGCCCTTCTTAACCTCCCAGGCCCCCAAAGAGAAGAGCCACAAGAGGCCCTTCGCCCTCCCCGAGGCTCAACCGGGGGCCCAAGTGAGCCTG